CCTGAGATTTGAGGTAAGAATGGGAAGTTCTTTGATTATTTAGGTCATACTTTTAGCAGTGGTTGGCAACACAGCACAAAATGTGCTGATTAAATTTGTCAGAAGTGTACTTGAGATCAAGCTAGTGGATGGGTTTAGAACCTTCTCTGTCTTCAAAAGCAGAAAAAGTCAATGCTGACTCACAAGTCACCTTTGACATAATTCTTTGATTTTGAGGCCTGAATTTTTAATTTTTAATGTTTTCGCATTTTTTCCTGTGATCATTTCAAGTTTCTTGACATCTCAAAGTCAGTGTGATTGCTTTCTTCCACTTAACACATCTGCTTCATAAATAATCTCAGTGGAAAGGAAAATAGTGTCACTTTCAGATGACATTGGTAATTTTTTCTTCCTCTCTGGCATTGTACTGAATAAGCTTTAGCAATTGCTGTTTCCATCTCCTATTTAAATGGGAAAGAACCGTGTTAGCTGCTTTCTTTTTAAACACCAATGCATATTCAAAGAGGTTTTGTGAAAGAAAAACGTTGTCAAAATGCTTCCTTAACTTGCTACATCTTGAATCTTCCAGTTGGGGCTCATGAAAGTATCCACAAGTGTAACATCTTATGAGTGTGAAGATGGAAAGGCCTTTGTATCTTTTCTTCTGCTGTTGTTTAATGACAATAAGTGGTAATAGGGGTATTAGTGCTGCTGTGCACTGTTTGGTCTGGAGGCAGCCAAAACAGGAAGCTTTCAATTATTTGGGAGTTTCCTTTCAGGAAAATAACAGACATTTCTTGAAAAAGCTGATGGTTACAGTACTAAAGCACCCAGCTTACTTGTGACAAACCAGAAAAATGAAGTACTCTGGTCCTTCCATTACTGGATATTGCTATATTCTCTTTTACCTTGATGAAGAGTCACCTGCAGAAGTGAGTGGGGAAACACTTGAAGAGGAAAGGAATGTAAACCAGTGCTGTATTGAGTCACAGCTCTCTGGGCTCAGTTTGGTTTTAAAAAGTTGAAAATGTAGTTTACATACAATAATTCCATTTGTTAGAATTCCTAATTAAGGTGCTGTCTGGAAAAAAAAAATAGCAAAAAACTTCTCCCTCTTCTTCAAAGCCTCACATTGTCCTTTGAAGTCTACTCCTGCTTTTAAAAATGGTGAGGTCTTTTATATTTATATACATAATGTAATTAATGCCTCATGTGAAGATCCCTTGATGACATTTCTAATCTCTTGATTTTGCATACATCAGGGATAAATGTGATGCTGATTCACTTAATCCCCTGTTACTAACTAATGTGTTCAGCAGATCAATCTGAAGGGAAATGCTTCATAGTAGAACTTTTGTTTTCAGTTTGTCTGATCTGTAAGTCTTCAAAACAAAAAATTTCCCAGGATGCAAAAGAAGACATGCAGCTTGCTGACAAAGAAGTTTACATGTTCAGGTTCTATTTTTTTAAAGATGATGGTATATAAACACCTTTTACTTGAGAGATCTGTGTTAGTTTCTTTATGCTACCTCATATTCTAGACTGAAGAGACTGAGAAGTTTCTTTCCAAGGTTGCTGGTGGAAACATCAATTTTTTTGATTCTTCAGAATCATTAGCATTTGTTTTCTCTTGGATCAATGTCAAGCAGCTGTGTGAATACAGTTGCAGACAAACTTGTTAAATGTGAGCATTTGCTCTCTTTTAAACTGCTCCCTAACTTTTTGTAATGTTGGAAATAATAAAAGTTTGCTGTTGGTTTCATTAAAGTTGTCTATACTTTGTTAATACTTCGCTTTATGCAAGGCAAATATTTAGAACAGAACAGCAATAATTTGAAAAGTTAACAGGTGAAAATACAAGGTTCATCAACTGCACCTGTGCTCTGGGTCTTTCAAAAGATGAAAAAAATAGGGGAAAATATGCTCTTTATTATAGTAATGACATCAGAGCACTTTTCTAGAAGATAATTTCTTTTGTGTTTAGGTTCTATGTGTAGAAAGCTCTTCAGAGTTGGCTAATCTGTTTTCTTAGACCAAGTAATGCTTATCCAGGAAATGGTCTGCATGCTATTAAAAACTTAATAAATAATTAGAGGTATTGCCATCCCATCATGAAGTTCCATGAGAAACAAACACAAGAACATTTCCTTATCCACTTACAAAATGCATCCTTCCTTCTTGTCAAGTGGTAGAATTTAGACTGAGCAGCAGTCTACAGATGAAACCATGTTTTGCTCTGGTAGTCTCAAACAAAACTGAGATGTGATTCTCTAAAACACTCTGTGTTTCAGTGAATATGCATAGCAAGTATCTTCTAGCAGCAAAGGGTCACTTTTTCTGAGTGCTGCCTTTAAAACAGCTTCCTCATGCAGAAGCAGCTGTTGATGCTGCTGGAGAACATGCAGATGCATGCCTGCTGTGTTATGCGTTCCTGGGATTCCCAAAAATGAAAAAAAAAAACCCAAAAAGGAAGTTGTTTTATGCCAGACTAGCAGGATCAGGGTGTGACTATTTTAGAATTGTTTCGTGTTTAAATGTATAGGTTCCTTTTTCCCTGTAAGAGGTGGAAATGCATACAGGAAGTGGCTGTAAGAAGCGTCCCTGTCACCGTGGGCTGTGTTCTGTCCCTCTGTCGCCCCTGTGCTTTGGTCCTTCCTTGCAGGCCCAGCCAGTGATACCCTTGGTGCTGTTTTGTGCAGTCTCTGAAGCTGGGCAAGGTAAAAAACACCTCTTTATTTTACAGGTTGCTGGTTAACCTTGCCCAAAAAGGTGAGAGGAAAGAATAGTTATGAAGCAAAGCATATCGTGGTGGTTAGGCTGCAGTAAGCATCAGCTGACACCCCATCTGGACATGACAAACATGCTTGGTGACAAACAGCTTTTTCTAGCCAGATTCACATTCTAGAGCATTTCAAAATTAAACCCCAAAAAGCTTTTTTTTTTAAAATACTGATTTTGATACCCAGCATGTTACCTTTGAAGGTACTAAACCCACAGATTTTTCTAGAACAACATTATTTATTCTGATACGTGTTATCCAGTGCTACAAAATTATTACTTGGAATAAATGCTAGGGAAGCTTTATGTCACAAGAGAAGGGTAGAGAACTCTCAAGCTTGGTTGTCCGAGGCTTCCTGCGCCCAAGGCTGCCCTGGCGCTCTTACCCTGCGGCCGATGCCACTCTCCCTATGCTGTCGCGATAGGGCCGGGGGCGGCGCTGCTGTCGCGATAGGGCGGGGGGCGGGTCCTCCCGCCGCCG